TGCCTGAGCAACAGCATCTCAAAGGTACTGTGGCTACTGGCCTGGCTTCCTAGTCAGTGGCCTGCTACTTTCTGCTGTTAGAAAGGATTGGATAGGATATAGCTTAGCTTAGCTTAGTTTAGCATCTGTCTACTTCCAATTCATTTCTTTCAATTTACATTTCTTTTGGAGTTTTTTCCAATACTTCTGAAAGAGAAAGCTCAGTGTTTTCCCTAGCAGTGTGATCTATTACTGTGCAGAGAAGCACACATTACACACACTCACACAGATCATAGAAGAAGTCAGATAGTCATAGAAGAAGAGATTGTATATAGTTATTACATTAGTTATTAATATTAGTTATAGTTAGTTTTAATAGTTTACACGCAGACTAAAGACAACACAGAAGAAGAAAAGAACAAGTCAGCCAGCCAGCCACACATTCAGACCAGATCAAAGAAGAACACAAGACACCCACAACTTTTGCAGCACAGGAAACATTAATATGAAGAGTACTGGAAAGGCAGGTGCCAGGCTTTCTGGCAGAGGAGGGAGAGTGGCTAGAGGGGGTAGGGGGAGAACTAGAGCTGCAAGTTCTCTTGCCCCCAGACATAAACACATCCTTTTCCTGAGCAGCCATGAGGTTTCTGCTGTCAGTGGGGGCAAGGAGGTGGGAGCAGTGCCTGGTGTCCCTGCACCTGCATCGCCTCCCCTAACTCCAGAAATAGGCACCAGCAGCAGAATCACTGTCTCCTCTACCCCAATGTCATCTCCCAGCGTGAGCCTCCCACTCCCAGAGGAGGAGCTGGAGCTGGAAACAGGGGACCTGAGCACTGTGGCTCAAGCAATTCTGGGGACCGAGGAGGAATCAGAGTTCATGCTCCACACCCCTCAAAGTTCCCCTAGACCCAGGTCTCCTTCTCCAGAAAGCAGCACGCGGAGGCTTAGGCAAGTGGCTCAGCTCAGGCAGCTCCTTCTGCTGTTGTGCCTCAGCCTGCTGAGGAGGCGGATAAGGCAGGATCCCCACCCTCAAACCAGAAGCGGGTGAATAGCACAGTGTGGGATCATTTTGAGCTGACAGATGATCCCAGGTTTGCTATCTGCCAGCACTGCCAAAGGCAGATCAGCTAAAGCAAGGAGGTGAAACACTACACCACCACAGAGATGCTGCTGCATCTCAGAAGGCAGCACCCCTTTGCCCTTCTTTCTGCTCAGCCTGGCACCAGTGTGTGTGCACCCAAAGGAAAGTCTCCCGCTCACTCCAAAGCCCCCGTCCCGCCCAAGCACAGGCAGGTCACCCTGGAGCAGTGGGGGAAAGCTGCAGATAGAGGGGGTGCATTCCCAAGGCAAGTGAGATCACCCAGACCATTGGCAAGATCATTGAGACCATGACGCTCATGGCCCCATCTTACCAAGTGCCCACATGCACCACCTTTAGCAGGATGGTGGTGCTCTCCCTGTATGAGGCATGCAGGGAGTACTTGAGGGAAGAGCTGCGCAAGGCAGGGCTGCAGGTAGCCTTGTACTTCACCTCTGACATCTGAAGCACTTGTGGTGGTGATCATGCCTACCTCTCCCTCACAGGGCACTGGTGCGATCAGTCAGTCAGTGGGTTCTCCTCCAAGCCGAGGTGCTGGATGAGTCCCATATGGCAAGGGAGATCATGGTGGCCGTGAACAGCGTGGCTGAGGTACAGGGGTGGCTTGTTGGGCAGGCTGAGCTCATCTGTGGGTTCATGGTCACCAACAACAGGGCCAATATGGTCAAGGCTGTCCATGATGCCAACTTGTTTGGTATCTGCTACGTGGCACACAGGCTGCACCTCATAGTCAGAGATGCCTTGGAGGGGAACAGGTCTGCCAGTGATGGCACCGCCACCACTACCACTTTGAGCCTGGGTCATTTCAAAATGCAGGAAGGTGGCAGGCTACTTCCACCTCAGCATCAATGGGAGCAAGATGCTGTGGGAGAAACAGGCAGAGCTGAGCATCTTTCAGCACAAAATCATGCAGGATGTGGAGACTCAGTGGAACTCCACATACCTAATGCTTGAAAGGCTGGTGGAGCAGCAGAAGGCCATCCATGAGATGGCCTTGCTCAGGAAGATTGGGATCAGCGGCCCCCTGAACAGAACTGAGTAGAGTACCATCTCCTAGATTTTGGTGGTCCTCAAGCCCTTCATTGAGGCCACCGAGACCCTCAGTGCTGGCAATGCCCTCCTTAGACAGGTGATCCCCATAGTGAGGAAACTGGAGAACTAAATGGAGAAGTTCCAGGGGATCGATGTTCCTGGCTGGGGCATTCCGCTGTCACCAGACATGCAGGCACTGGTGAGGCAACTGAAAGAGCGCATCAGGAGATGACTGGATCCCTTGCGGTCCAGTGTGGTCCACATGCTGACAGGCCTGTGTAACCCGAGGGTGAAGGGGAACATGTGCCCTGGCAGCACCAAAACCCTCGATCAGTGGACGCAGTTGCTGGTCAACAAAGTCAGGGAGGCAGAAGTGCAGAGGTGAGGGGATGTAGAAGAGGGGCATCCACTTCCCTGTGCCAGCACTCCCAGCACTGCCACCGGTACCAGCACCAGCCCATCTCCTCCTCACCAGCCAATGGCAATGTAGGCCATGGGCATGGCTTCAATGGTGGGGGCCACACACAA